ACTTCCTATTTCACCGGAAATGACCACAACTTTCTATTTTTAAATGGCACCCCTCGGTATTTTTTTACTTTATTCGATAGGAAATTACACTCTGAATCGAATGACATATAATATGTCAACATTTGACATATTCGCTCAAAAGCAAATTGTATTTTAAATTTGAATCTAGAGTGCCATGGCTATGTTAAAAACACTAATTTTTAATCAAGAAGCCTTGGAAAAATAGATTTGATCGTATAATGTTTTTAGTGTCTTGTCCTGGTCGGTTCAAAGATGCCCAAATCGTATTTTTAATCATCTCAATTTTTTCATATGGAACGAGGGTGGTTCATTAGTATATTTTTTTACGAATAATTTGATACCACACACTTAGTCTCAATTGTCGTTATGAACCGCATCCTATAATTTAAAATAAACCATATGCGAAAATGTTAAAAGTTGACATATGACATGTCATTCTATTCAGAGTGTCATTTTCTATCGAATAAAGTAAAAAAATACCGAGGGTGCCGTTTAAAAATCAAAAGTTGTAGTAGTTTCCGCTAAAACCAGAAGTGACCGAAAACAACTGAATGTGTCAATCAATCCTAATTTATGTCATATACTAACATACCAAATCTCGTTGTTTTATCTGAAAAAATAAAAAAGTCATAAGGGTGAGCCACTTTTGAGACGCACCCGGTATAATGCCTTTTAAATGTATTTTGTCAATGAGAAATAGTAAAAAAATAGTTTTATTAAATTTGGTTCTGCGTCGAAAAAATACTGGTTTGTTTTTGAATTGAAAACAGATTTGACATCTATGGAAAAATTCAAACTTATAAACAAACAGTTTCATTAATTTTCAACAAATTAATATGAACGGACACAAAAATAAAGTAAAACGCATTTTTTAGGAATTTTTGACAACAGAAATATAACTTGGCTAAGAAACCCATAGAAATTAAAAACATATATATTTTATGATTTTACCGTATTATTAAAAGTACACACAACTGAAATGTGAAGCTAAAGTAATAAACATAAATTATTTTCAACAAAACTGCAAACCTTGAATGTACATAACTTTTTCAAATACAGTTCATGCTAATATAGGATCTGCATTTGACGCACATGGATCGTGCACATTTGATTCATGAGATTTTTGTTTTTTGTCATTTCTTCATTGAGATATGGTTGCCATATACCACATCACTTTCTTTTCTGGTATTGATTATTCAATTTTCTCTCTACTATAAGTAAGAGATTCAGAATCGGAGTTATAGTTACTCTTCGGAGAAAAATCAATGTCTCGATGGTATTCATCTCAGTTAAGCCTCTTCAAGTTCATCAAACCACTCAATGCTTCCTCAAAATTAGTGTCCCAGTGAGGCACACTTTTTAGACTACCCACCATCCTAATAATGTAACATTCTTGGCGTGGTGGTGCCACACAGACCCCAATGTAACTTTAGCCACCGCTTGTAGAAACAATATTTGATAAAATCAAGTGCGCCTTTAACAGTTGCATTTTGGTACCCTAACTTAAAGGTAAACGGCGCGGCGAGGCCTAATTCTTAAACGTAAACATTTTACAGAGGTTTAAATAGTGCTTGGGGTCCGCTGGACCCCACACAGTTGAGGGTTAATATATATATTTTAAATTTACATTTTTTTTAATTGTAAAGTAATATATTACATTTAAATGGAATATATTACACAACAATGTCAATTACAGGATTACAGGCTTGTTTTCTAAATAAAACGAATTATAAAATTTCAATATATGTATATTTGTCGTAGGTATGAAAAAAGTAAAATATAAAATGGACAAACGCTTACTTACATTTCAATAAAACTTCCACTTTTAGTTTTGCAATCCAAACGCAATATTTGTATTTCACAAATAAAAATATCCGACAACATTAAAATCACTGAAACTTCCGCGGCTGATAACGAAAGCTGAAAAATATAACAGCACTTTTTGTTTGGGACCTGCATATCAACATTACGCTGTACCATTATGTTTTTGTTTTTGAAATAATATAGAATATCTAATTATAACTTGTGAATTTTAATATTTTAACATGATTTTAACTATTTCTGACAATAACTAACTTTTTGTTATCAAGATGACATTTTAGACAGCAACTGACATATAGTATGTCATCACAATGTAAAATGTTGAGTCAACAAATTATTGAGCCTACATGGTCTACCCCACGTCTACCCTACATCATAGTTTTACACTTTTTAAATAAAATTATAACGGCACTGATAAACCGGAATTTAAGTCCGCCATATTTGAGTCCCTTCGCGGTGGATCTAAGATATTTGATATGCTCCTTCCTTAATCTTTTTATTCAAAGATCTTGATAGAGTGTTATTTTCTTCTATCTATGGTTATGGATGGGGTTATGGCACTGGCATCGACAATAGGAGGTGATTTACAAATTACAATGAGTAACGCTTATTTTCACAAATTCTTTGAATTCAAAGGCGAAGGCGATGGGTTAAACGTAGTCTTGACTAAGGACAGGGAGGGGCGCTTTGACTCTAAATATTTTAGTGATGGGTTGTTATTTAACTATCTGTTATTTTATAACAATTATTTAGAAATAACATAACGCAACCGTTACTGCTTTTAAAAAATAACAGATATAAAATAACGACACGCAGAGATCGAGTGTTCGTGAAACGAAGTCGGCGCTCTGCACCGCCACGAAATTCGATGCTGCTCGAAGCAATTCCAAAAAACTATGTACGTGTATGGATGGAAAACCTATTATTTCGACAACCATCGATACAGGCGGCGAGATACAACGGACAACGGAGTGGGGTATGCGCTACGGCGCGGCGCGTCGTGTTGGGCTGACAACAGCTTAAAAATAATAGGATATAAAAGCAGCTTTTTTGAAACAGTTGCGGGCATAACGCCTGGCTGTCGAGATAACAGGAGTGGGAAAGGAGCGCTGCTGCATCGGTCGATTGTCGATGGAGGCTCGCAACGGGTTGGAGAATAACGCATCAGTTGTTTTAGCTATGTTGTTTTTTTACCTGTTACGAGCATAACAGAACGGCGTTCGAGATAATCGGAGGTTTGAAACAGGTTGGAGAATAACGCATCAGTTGTTTTAGATACATATTGTTTTTCAACCTGTTACGAGCATAACGGGCGGAGGTCGAGATATTATGGCGCTGTATGTTTCAATACTTTGTTATTAAGTTTCAATATTTAAGTATTTATTTATTCTGAAAAATTTTCAGAATAATATTTTAAGATTTTTTAAAAATGTATACAGGGTGTTTTGAAAAATCTGGTCATTGATTAATCACGATCCTGCTTAAAGCCCTTGACGTAAAAAGCTGATTTTTGGAAAACGGATTGACTTTAGGGTGTAGAGGTGCGATAAGAAGGGATTTTTCGAAACTCAAATTCTAAGGGGGTGAAACCACCCTCAAATATTAGAATATTTTTTATTTAAAAACTGGTGAGTTTTTCGAAAAAACTCTTAAACACGTATATTTTATTTTGTTGTTTTACATATTTTGAGATTTTTACAAAATATATACAGGGTGTTTCATAAAATATGACCACTGAGTAATCACTATTCTGCTTAAACTGCTTGACGTTTAAAGCTGATTTTTGGTAAACGGATTGACTGTGGGGTGTAGAGGTGCGATAAGGAGGGGTTTCTCGAATCTCAAATTCCAAGAGGGTGAAAACGCCCCTCAAATATTACAATATTTATTATTTAAAAAACGGTTAGTCTTTCGGGAAAACGATTGGACACGCATAATTTATTTTGTTTTTTTACATATTTTGAAATTTTTTAAAAAATAATACAGGGTGTTCCAAAAAGTTGAGTAATTGATTAACCACGATTCTGCTTAAACTGCTCGACGTTTAAAGCATATTTTTGGCAAATGTGAGAAAATTTTATCCAGTTTGTATGTTAATGGAAATTCTTGCTTTGCTTTATCATCACCATTACAAATTAATAATTCGATGCGAACGAAGTCGCGGGTACAACTTAACAAGTATAGCTAGAGACGTGAGAAATATAAAATAAGAGACGCCCCCCGATGCGCAGTGGACATCCCACAAATTTGCTTCAATCAGATTTTTCGTAGCGTAACTGCATCTCTCTTCCGCCGAATGCGTTCTCTCTCTATCGTGTGCGCGACCGGTGCTATCCCCAAGTCTCTTCCTATATTTGTCAAACTGTACATGCTAGTTTAAGTGTAAAATTAATTCGAACTCTAGTGTGTAGTTGGTTTACTTATGAAGAATATACTACACATTTTCTTATATTGCTATTTTTTGACCGCAAATGGTAAAATCATAACGAAGAGCTTCTCGCCCGTCGAGTGAGATGCACCCTGTACACTGCTACGCAATTCAGAATCTACGCGGATCGAGGGGTAGGGCGTAGGTAGATCGGAATTTATAGATATAGACGAGTGGCGGCATTTTGGCTTTTTTATATCGCAATTTGTAAACAGCGCTTATTTGTAAACAACCCCCGTTTTTAGAGAGGTATTTTAGATAACAATCGATATTTAGAAATGTTATGACACCCTGGAAATACTACCACCGAGCACGTCATTGTTGCAACTGCGTTAATACGCCTGGCGGTGACCGCCTCATATTCTTTCAGATATTTAGCAATAAAATAAAGAAACCTGTTATTTTTAAGCTGTTATTTTAAGCTGTTTTTTATAAATAACTATAACAGTTTCAACTGTTATCTAAAAATAACAGTTTTGCCCATCACTAAAATATTTTACTATTAACTTTTATATCTATTTTGATAGATTGTTATTTACTTTTATCTATGGTTATGGATGGGGTTATGGCACTGGCACCGACAATAGGAAGCGATCTACAAATTACAATGAGTAACGCTTATATTCACTTAAAATAAAAGCAACTGAAACCGAAAACATAAAAATATATATTTTAATTCTTTTTCTAAAATACCACTAAATTTTTACTTTCAAGTGATTCTGTATTTTAGAGCCAGAGAAGCTTTGAGGCAATGCCTGCCTGATCAATTAAAAGATAACACATTTAATGTGTGTTTGCAAGAAGACAAATCAACAAAACATTGGTTACAACAGTTATTGAAAAATCTAGAAACTCCGGCAGGAATTTCACCTCTTACATCGCAATAATAAGATATATCAAGAGTAATAACTTAATGCATGCCCAAGTAATGTATTAATTATTTTTTATTGTTAATATTATGTAAATGTGAAACATGTAAATTAAATTTTACTAAAGAATAATTATTTAAGATAATATCTGTTTTATTTACACCACATACCACAAACCATACTTAATACTTTATGCGATATTTATCAATTTGATTGTTTTAATGCTTTAATATAACTATCTTTATTTTTTTTAAATGTAAAAACTAAATTATATTTTTTTAATACTTTAATACAGCAATATCACAAATAATAGAGAAAGGAAAAACTAGATAAATATTTCTGATCTTCATTTTATAGCCATCGCCGACGCCGCTTTTTTGGATCATATTGTATTTATATATAATTTTAGTTGACATAACTTTGATATAAGTATGTCTCCGGATTGTCTGCAAGAGGAAAAACTTTTTTATTATTGACATTTTGAGAAAAATGCATTTTTCATAAACATTTTTGCTTCCCTCCAAAAAATCTTATATGGTTATTTCGCCACTGCAAGAAAATCTACAAAATAAAATAGTTATTTTTAGTAAACACTTTTGCGTTAATCCTAAACGGAAAATACTTGCCAGAAGTTGTTTACAAATATACAAATTTACCTAACGAACAAAAAAGTGCTTAACGTTTCGGAAAGTTTATCTCTTTCCGTCGTCGGAAGCAAAAACAAAGAATAGAGAAAAAAACTATTTAAACTATTTAAGTTCAACTATTCGAGAACACTTTAGTTTTTTAAAACAGATACGTCTACAAAAACCGTTGACGTTCTGTTAAAATGACATTATATTAAGTTAAACTTCAAAATTAACAATTACTATCTGATAACAATTACTTAATAAGGTAAAACCAAAAAGCCCCAAAATTTCTTTTTTTTTTAATTTTTGCTTGTTCTAAAATGATTAATCCCGTTTACATTTAACCAAATTTCCATACCGTTTTAGAGAAAATTGAAAAAAACTAAATAATTTTTTGCTTTAACATTTTAAAACAGCAAAAAAATTGACGTTAACTAAATTCTATTAATAACAATCTATCAAAGAATGAAAACAAATTTATTACCATAGAAACGTGTTTTGATTTTTAGGCCTTTTATTAAAAAATCTACCACATTTTCACGTTTTTTTCAATTTTCTCTAAAACGGTACGAAAATTTGGAAAAGTATAAACGGAATTCATATTAGAACAAGCAAAATTTTTTGTGAAGAATGCATTTTTCTCAAAATGTCAATAATAAAAAAGTTTTTCCTCTTTTAGAGACAATCCGGGGACATACTCTATATTTTTAGACTTTACACCGATTTTAAGATATATACGCTGCCATGTTTATGTTTCAATATTTCACAATCTTTCATGCTATCTAATTACAATTTATAATTAGATAGTAAATATTTTTTACTGTCTAATTACAAATAATGATGAGAATGAGTGGCTACCACACAGTCAATTACCAGTATATAATTTTAAATAATTATCATTTTAATATGACTAATCAAAAAAAAGTAAACAGCCAAAGCAAGTAAAAATAGAAAGATAAAATGATCGCCATTATAGAAGTCGTATATATTTACACATGTATACAGTATTTCTTTCAGATATAATTTATTAAGTATAGTCTAGTCAAGTTATATTTCTTGGGGGAAGGTTTTGGTTTGGTTTGGTCATCATATCAGAACTACCTGACTTATTTTGTTCTTTATGTTTTTTGGGGCGCCTGCGCCGCCGCTCCGCACAGTGATGCCGAAAACGCGAAAAGTGGCAAAATATAATTTCTCAACTTACTACTACGTTTTTTAAAATTATATTTGTTATATGTGGTTTTCTAAGTATATAAGTGATGTTTTGAATTCAGAAAATTGAATTATGTGTACAGAGTGGACTTAAATTGGCTGTAAAAAATAAAAATGGTTTTTAAAAAATTTACTCATATTATTTTGTCTTTAATAGCATATTAATTTAATACTCTATTCTTTGTAAAGTTTAAAAAATCAAAAAAGTTTGTTTAAACACAGGACATAAATATACAGGGTTTTATTTTCAGCCCCTTACAATATAATTATCATTTCGTTTTTAATATAATTAATCTTTTTTTCAGAACTAGTTACCAATAAGTATTACTTAAATTGTAACGAAAATTTATTTTCGTTGTGCTTGCCTTCGGATTATTTTACTTTTAAACGAGGTTTTTACAGTTTGCAATTTTACTCGCATTGACACTTGGCCCTCGGGTACCATACTTTTTCCCCGTTGGATGTTGTGCGTCGGATAAAATATATTTTTTTATCGTTCTTTAATAATTCTCAATGGTACTTAGCAAAGTTGAACTTATTATTTGGATTTTAATATGTTTTGTTCAACGATTATAAATTAAGTTGCTCTTTTCATGGATCGTACCATCCATCACGAGAATCCATGGAGTACCAAATTACACCAAATGGTACGGTGTACAAAATATTGCAGACTGTAAAACACCGTAGATTGTTTTAGGCAATTCATAATACAATAGTTGCAATTTTTGGTTGCCTATCTACTGTTTGAGATTCATTTGTTTATTTTTTAACAGAGGTTAAGTGAATTTTCCTTGTTATCAGTGCTAATTGATTAAGATGCAATTGTTTCCTTCATTTTTTAAGGTATGTAAGGAGTCGTTAAGTATTATTTTTATTAGTAGTTGAAATTTTATCGAGAATTAGTTTAACAACGCATGACTATTTTTAATTCGATCTGATATGTCAAGATTTTCGGGAGAAGGGGTATGGTTAATATAAAACTAAAAATTTTAAAATTTTGCCTTCTTCTCTTCTCATCTCTGCTCTGGGCATTTGGCCATTATTCCAATCTGTTTGAGATTTTTTATTTTTTTTTTCTTCAAGACTGCACGCTGAAGGTACGATTTTAGATAATTTTACTACGGTTCTATTTAACAATTTATTTCAGCAATTATTTCATTACTTAATATATTTTCTAAACGTAGGTAACTACCTATTGTTTTTTTATTTTTGTTTTTTACATAGCTACAGTTTTTTTTCATAAGAGCACGTGCTTAGACTTATCGTAAGATAGTTACTCTACTATCTTTCGAGTTATATATAACTAATTATTGTCTTATTTTTTCTACCTATATATAATATACGGAGACGCCACAACGTGGAACAGGAACACAGACAGGTGTTCGATACAGAGTCAGGCTGTCCGAGAGAACCAACTGCTGCAGGAGTACGATCAGGAAGATCCCAGGAAAAGCAGGCCTTTGGTAAGTAAAGCTTTTATAATTTCATTATTAACGACTATAGTCATCTTTGAAAAAACTTTACTTGCCAGAGGGTGGCTTCTCCATACCTGGACCCTGTGGTGGTTATTTTTCTCGTTTGACTCCTCGACAGATAAGATTTTTCTAATTTTTTTCTCGCCTTATCTGTCAATTAATTTCTTATTAATAATATTTTTTTTTTATAATTTAAATCATCGTCTCTTCGTATTGCATTTTTTTTGGATTTTGTTTTTTAGCACGTGCAAAGCAATAAATAATTGTCTGATGGAACCACGGTTTTTTTATCCAATTTTTATTATAAAATCGTACCTGTAGTGTGGTAGTGGTCTTGATATTTTTTTTTATTAAATTGATTTTACATTTTTTAGAGAGAGAGACAGAGAGAGAGAGGTATACATTTTATCTTTGCCTAGTTTTTTAAAATAATTTGGACAATACTCAATTCTAATTTCATTTAAGCTGTTATAGCCAGATTTCAAAATTTATTATTAAAATTTTATTAAATTTAATTATTAATATTAAATTTTCAGTTTGATAGTAGAATTTTGTCAATTACTTACTTATTCATTTTTTACTGGTTGTTTTTTGAGAAGACTAACAACTTATTGGTTAAATACCAATTTGTTTTGTATTTTAAAATTGATCAATTTTAATGTTAATTTTAAAGTTAATTTTAAGTTGATTTTTAGTAGTAGTTAATTAGATTTAATTTAAATATTGTTAAGGTAAATAACTATACCTTTGATTTAAATTTTGATTGACTCTCATTGTACATTTTATTGGCAACCACAGACAGTCGACTTGGTACTGTAGAACACTACCACATAACTGGGTACTTAACCATTATTTGGAATAGCATACTGCTGTTTATTATCTTCTAGGAAGATACGAGAACTGACCCTCCCCATAAGTAGCTCACGCACTGAGACTGGTGGAGTCTCACAAGCTCTCAAGATTAGCCAGACAATCACGCTACCCACCAGCGGATGAGTGCAGCGAAGAGGGCGAGGCCTTTCTCCCAATCAACTGAAGCAGAACCATATATCTAAGTATCCCAGTTAATTACCTAATTACTTCATAATATAGTCAAGACTGTCACAGCCAGCCAATTGTACTATAGTGAGAAATTGTTAAGTAAATATAAGTTAGTTTTAAAAAAAATAATATCTTGTTTTATTTAATTCCAAAGCATACTTCTAAATTCATCAACATCTAGAATTTTGTGGGTTATACACTTTTTTTTTTTTTTTTTTTTTTTTTTTGTAATAAGTTGTATTTATTTTTTTATACAAAAAAATTAAAATGAGAAAAAAATATATTTTTTCAACCTAATGAGTTGTATTTATTTATATTTATACAAAAAAAAAAAAATTAAAATGAGAAAAAAATATTTTTTTATTTATTTTGTAACAATAAAGAAATACACTATTCTTTTGTTTTATACAAAACTTCTTTAACTAAAGAAAAAATATCGTAAAATCTAAAAACACAGTGACCTTAAAAACATTTTTTTTTTGGTTTCAACAACATTAAATAAGAAATAGAAAAATCGTTTGTTTTCGAAAACTCTACAGGAAAAATTTTGTTATACTTGTATAAATGCTGTAGCACTTCAAGCATCATAGGTTTTGAAATTTCTAGAATATCTACGTTTACCTCTGATTTCCACTGCAAGAGGATTGCATAATCTGAATTTTCGACGAATTTAAACAGAACTTTGGCAACAGATAAAAAATGTACACTACCTCCTTCGTATAGTGCTAGATTCAATTCTTTTTCCAAAATCCAAATAAGCAAGTGATTAGATTTTGTGTCCGAAATAGTATATTTTAAAATTGTCTTTACAGAATTGAACAAATTATTTTGTAAAACACCCTTAATAGATATAAAAACATCCTGTAATGGATCCGTTTGAATTTTGCCATTTTTACTTAGAAAATACATGGTATTTAGCCAGAATTTTAAAGTATTTTGTTTATAAATTACGCCCAACCATGCTAAACAAAATTTACATACAACTACATTATCTTTTTTTCTCTAATATTTTGAATATTTTCTTTACATAGATGTATAAAACAATTTGAATAAAAATGTCAGATTTATTTGGTTCTATGGTAAAAATTTATTTGTATTCTATGGTAATGGTAAGACTCTTTCAAAAGTTATTACATTATTATTTAAATTATTTTCACAACTCTTACATTTGACCATATAATTGAGATTTTTTTCAAAAAAATATCTATTTTTCAAAACAATACTGGAAGAAGAACCATTTTTTTGAAGGACCTCAGATTTAAAACTACCCCTATCAGAAGAATTGGTAAAAAAACTACAAGATATATTATTTTCTGAAATTTTTAAAGATGATAAAGTTGAAGGAATAGCTTTAAATCTCTTAAAATCTACCAAAAAAATGTTGTTTTCTTTTTTAATTTCAAAATTATCCTCAAACAAATTTACTTTAAAATTTCCTGAATAGTTTTTAGCAAGTTTAATAAAAAGATTGGCGCTTTGCAACTTAGGTCGATACTCTATAAATCCTGACTCAATCATCCTGTTTTTTCTCTTGTTTCTTTAAAATACCTTCCTTACTTAGTTTCAAGAATAATTTATCATTTTCTCGAACAACATAGGGTATAGTGGCTTTTTTATAATAGTCAGGGACCAATTTTATATTGTTTATCACTGTAGTAAGCATATGAGCTCTTTCTGCCAGTATACCTGGAGCTTCATGTTTGAGGTAGGTAAAATGTACATGAAGATGATAAAAAGAGGGTTGATAATGGAAATAAATCCTCAACTGTGAACTATCTAGTCCGTATTTTGACTCAATAGCATTAATTCCTTTTTCCTTTATATTTTCAAGCAATGGGATATGTTCAGCACTTAAATCTCGAACAGACTTAATATCTCTATTGTTACATATAGCCAGGAAGTATAAAGTATCAATTTCACCATTCCATTTCAGATCAGGTACCATAACAAAGCCATTTATTGGGTCTGGATCTTCGACAAGGATTCTGTCTGATTCAGAAACGTGCTCCAAAATATTGTAAACCCATGTTAGATCAAATTTTTCTTCTAGGAGATGGGGCAACACAAACTTGTTATAGATATCCGGTGTCTCATCCACCATGTACGTATTCTGAGACGAATATTTAATAATGTGCTTCTCTGTAGCAGGATGAATAATAGTTGTTTTAATACTATTTAGCTCGACAACAGGGAAATATTTATAATTTCCGTAGATATCGTTGTGAAAAACTTTCTCTAGCTGGCCGTTATCCGTAAAATTCGATAAACCATCTGCGGAGAACGCGGTCTTTTCTAAAATAACAACGGCTTCTCCCACTTTCGATTCGAAGTTTCCTCTTAAACTGACCGTTTTTCTGTTTGTGTTGTTATGTAAAACGCTCGAGATTTTAAAGTCTGATAAGTCTTTTATATTTTCGTGAAGAGTTTCTCCATTCGTTGTATCTAATTTTAATTTCTTTGCTGGAATCACTTCCGAATTCTCAATCGTCACACTAGCCATGGATACAATAGTCGATTTCTCCGATTTTTAAAATTTAAAAAATTTTAAAATTTTTAGTTTTATATTAACCATACCCCTTCTCCCGAAAATCTTGACATATCAGATCGAATTAAAAATAGTCATGCGTTGTTAAACTAATTCTCGATAAAATTTCAACTACTAATAAAAATAATACTTAACGACTCCTTACATACCTTAAAAATGAAGGAAACAATTGCATCTTAATCAATTAGCACTGATAACAAGGAAAATTCACTTAACCTCTGTTAAAAATAAACAAATGAATCTCAAACAGTAGATAGGCAACCAAAAATTGCAACTATTGTATTATGAATTGCCTAAAACAATCTACGGTGTTTTACAGTCTGCAATATTTTGTACACCGTACCATTTGGTGTAATTTGGTACTCCATGGATTCTCGTGATGGATGGTACGATCCATGAAAAGAGCAACTTAATTTATAATCGTTGAACAAAACATATTAAAATCCAAATAATAAGTTCAACTTTGCTAAGTACCATTGAGAATTATTAAAGAACGATAAAAAAATATATTTTATCCGACGCACAACATCCAACGGGGAAAAAGTATGGTACCCGAGGGCCAAGTGTCATTGCGAGTAAAATTGCAAACTGTAAAAACCTCGTTTAAAAGTAAAATAATCCGAAGGCAAGCACAACGAAAATAAATTTTCGTTACAAAATTCAACTAAAAAAATATATTTATATTCATATCCATGAGAAAAAAAAAGAAACTAAATACATCTGTATATTTATGTAGTTACCTATTAATGAAAGTAACACCAAAACATCTAAAAGACTGGAACGCTCCTTTCGCATTAGATGTAAACAATTATTGTTCACTTACAACCATTTAATTTTAGTTATATTTTTAAATGTTCTATAATTTAAAAATATCTGTAATTAGCTGTGGTAAAAATATTATACTTAGTTTATAATTAGAACTTAGTTATAAGAATTTAATACGCAAGAAAAAAAAATTAAAATTATCCTAAAGCTTCTAGATAAGATGGATTTAGCAAATGGATAAAAAAAGTAATTTAATCTATAATAAGTTTTAGAGCTTCAGGATGCTGTTCTATTTTACTTGACAGAAGAAGTCTTGGTGATCTCTTACTATATCCGAGAAAATTAGTCGAAGGTGCATGACATTGTCGATAAAAGTTGTTAACTGATTGACGATGCATCATAGACACATTGATACGTCTTTGTAGTTTATATTAACAATAAATATTCAATATTAATGAAATTTCTAATAATATTAAATTTAATGTCATATAAGCATAAAACGAATAAAAACTTAGGATTAACTGGGAAAAGCTAGTTAAAATTACACATTAAAAATTATTTTTAAATTTGAATATCTTGGTATATCGAAAATTAAATTGAATTAGAGAAAATATATTAGCAGTTTACTTTCTAAAACTAATTAAAAATAACCAACAGATATATTTTACAACACCTAAGAAACACCCAGTAATATACTGTCATATGTAATTTATTTTGGGAAACAAAATCATAGTTTTCGGGAGAGTTAGGCAACCAAAAGGGTATTTTGTTGGTCATGAAATTTCGTAGTTATGAAGAAAAAAGGCTAATAAGTAACCTACATCATATTTTTTGAAGCAATTTGGAGCATTCTTAATTACATCAAGGTCTTTATTAAATTTTTTTATGGTACCAGGGAACTCAAAATTAGAATTACCATGAGGGAAAACAGTTGAAAACAAACTTTCTCAGAGTAGGTACCATCAGTTTTTAACTAATTTATCACCAACGTTAAACGCAGTAATTTTCAGGGATCAGGGATTAATAATGGACCAGTTTTTATTTAAAAATTATTGGGAACATCTGCATCACTGTGCGCCGGCGCCGATTCGAAACTGATGTTTGCTAACAAAATTTCACGCTTATAACTCCAAAAGATCTATTTTTTTCAGAAATAATACCTCTATACAACGTAAAAATAGACAAAGTTCCCTAAAAATTCAGTTCTTTATATTATTTCCTCAGAAAATCCGATTAGGCTCTAGCGCTGTTTCAAGATAATTTAAGTAAGCTCACATACTTAAATTATCGCTTCAAAATTGATATTTCTCATTGAAAACACCGGATGTATACAAATTGTATATCTATATACAGGGTGTCCCAGACTGAACGTGCATTAGAAGTTTCTAGAGAACTACATCTAGCTCGGATATTTCTTGCACATCATAGTTTCACAACCAGATGTATCGATCAAAAATATTTTCAATATGGCGGCACTTCCGGAAATACCGGAAGTTGACAAAAACTTTCTTATTTTAAATGGGTGCCCCCATTTTTTATTACATACTTAAATTCTCTGTAAAATTTTATGAATTTTGATTTTAAACACTCTATATCTAACATTGACCGTTTATGAGAAAAAAAAAATTTAAAATTTTTGAACGAAAAAAACTGTCTGTCAAAAATATGGGTATAGCCTAAACGTCAAATTTAGTGATTACCACAGCCACTGTGCCATAAAAAGAAAACATGTGGCTATCTATTTCAAAAATTAAATTGTTCGAATGCATGGCCACAGCTGTCATAGAATTGAGCGATTAAAAAATTATCATAAAACATTTTTTTTTAAATAAGAACCCACTTTTTTATTTCACTAGTGAAAAGGTTTTTTAATTCGTTACTTTTTGATTATACATGTTCCTATACCTAAAATAAATGGTTTTTAAGTTATTTAAGATTTAGTTTTAAAGGGTATATTTTTTTTTAACCAGTAGCCTAAGCCTTTAAACGTCACGCGATGTAAAACTATATCTGGCCATGTCATATTGCCACTAGCTATCACCACAGACAACCTAAAGTTTAAGTTAGATTGTGCTATCACTAAAATACGAGATATATTTTTATAAATACCTACACTTTATAAAGTTTTACCAGGAGTATTTTTAATACAGTGTGAAGTTTGGACCTTAAAAGCTGAACAAAAGCGAGCTTTGAATGCACTCGAAATGGACTATTTGAGACGCAGTGCGGGAGTATCTAAACTGGACAGAGTTAGGAACGTGGAAATCAGAGCCAAAATGGATGCCACACAGACAATAGTGGATAGAGTCGAACAGAGGGGCCTTAAGTGGTTTGGACACTTGCTACGCATGGAACACCAAAGATGGACCTACCGTATCTACAGCTGGTCACCTCCTGGAAAAAGGAAACGAGGACGGCCTAGAAGATCCTGGAATGAGGCCATCAGAAGGGCAATGGAGGACCGTAACTTGGAAGAGGAAGATGTTCTTGATCGTAACAGGTGGCGGTTAGGCGTGGGGATGCGACGTTAGTTGCGACAACCCTGGAGTATATATATATTTATAATACTATACGAAATTCAAATAATTAGTTTTTTCTTCTTCTTCCTTCTTCATACTTGGCGAATTGCCTGTTTGGTTTCGTCGTCTCTACCGGTCAGTTTGACATTTGAAATTCAAATAATTAGTTTTTTGACAGAAGGAAATAAATTGTCTGATGGTTTGACACTTAATGTCAAAGGAAGCTAGATAAAATCAAGAAAAAATTACGCTTTAAAACTAAATCTTAAATAACTTAAAAAACATTTATTTTAGGTATAGGAACATGTATAATCAAAAAGTAACGAATTAAAAAACCTTTTCACTAGTGAAATAAAAAAAGTGGGTTTCCATTTAAAAAAAATGATTTATGATAATTTTTTAATCGTTCAATTCGATGATAGCTACGGCCAATACTATATGACATTCGAACATTTTAATTTTTTAAATAGATAGCCACATGTCTTCTCTTTATGTCTCAGTGGCTGTGGTAATCGCTAAATTTCACGTTTAGTCTATACAAATTTTTTTGACGGCGGTTGTTTTCCTCCAAAAATATTTTTTTTTCTCTCAAAAACGGTTAATGTTAGATATAGAGTGTTTGAGATCAAAATTCAATTTCAAAAAAAAATGGGGGTACCCATTTAAAATAAGAAAGTTGCTGTCAACTTCCGGTATTTCCGGAAGTGCCGCCATATTGAAAATATTTTTAATCGACAGATCTCGTTGTGAAACAGTAATTTGCAAAAAATCTCCGATCTAGATATTATGGTTCTCTAGAAACTTCTAATGCACGCTCAGCCTGGGACACCCTGTATATATATATATATATATATATATACACATATATATATATATATATATATATATATATATATATATATATATATATATATATATATATATATATATATATATATATATATATATATATATATATCAACAATAGGTCGTAAAGTTTGGTACATTAATTTTAAATCGGCTATATTAAAATCACTTATAATTAATTTTAATCTATTTTTTAGCTTTAAGTGATATCAGGATATTATCGGTGAAAATAAAATACTAGATATACTTAAACATTTTATTATTACTCGCATCTTTTACTTACGTTTATACTTATTTATATATAGTGTGTTGATATTGCGTTAATTGATTGTAAATTCCAAAAATTATTCTTTATATATTATTATACAAAGCACGCTTAATAAATTTTTCATTACATTTTATTTTCAAAACGCTTTCAACATTATTGTAGTTAACTTACTGGATAAATGCGATATTTCACGACAATAATATTAAAACTTTGAAAAACTGAAAAAAATTGATCATACATATTAAAATAATAAGAAGGTAAATTATTAACTCGAGAAATTTAGGCTTTCAATAACGCTTCGAAAAAGTTTTGCGAAATGGCCAAACCTTCTTTATTTGCCTCGTAGTATGGCAATTTTTGAAATCTTTCTATGTACGCTTTGACGTTAGGAAAGTCCGAGTAAGGAACCATAGCATTTGCGGATGTCACAGTAGCTACGATACTGAAATCGGCAATGGTTGGCATATTCCCAGCAATATAATCCGTCTTGTTCTCGACAAATATTCTCTCCAAAAAACCAATGGCTTCCTTAAGTTCGTCGAGTTTCTCCTGGGTCGGTTTTAGGCCTTTCAAAAAAAGGGGTCTCTGTAAGAAAAAAATAATATTTAACTTTAAACGAATTCAATCCATTAATTCATTTTTAATTCCATAAAACTAAATATACCGGGTGCGTCTCAAAAGTGGCCCACCCCTTATAACTTTTTTATTTTTTCAGATAAGAAAATGAGATTTGGTATGTTCGTATATGACATAAATTAGAATTGATTGACGTATTCAATTATTTTTGGTCACTTCCTGTTTTACCGGAAATGCCTAGAACTTTTAATTTTTAAATGGCACCATCGGTTCTTTTTTTACTTTATTCTATAGAGTATGAAATTCTGAATAGAATGACATATCATGCATCAATTTTTGACATTCTCGCTTAATAAAAAATCGTATTTTAAATTTCAATCTAGAGTGCCATGGCTATGTTAAAAAACTAATTCTTAATCGAGGAGCCTTGGAAAAATAGATTTGATCGTTTAATAATTTTAGTGTCTTGTCCTGGCCGGTTAAAAGATTCCCAAATCATATATTCTTAATCATATGTCAATTTTTTAAAATGGAACGAGGGTGGCTCATTAGTATATTGGGAAAAAGCATTTTTTACGAATAATTTGATATCACACACTTAGTATTTTGAGTCAAATTTTTGTTATGAACCGCATGTTATAATTTCAAATAAACCATATGCGAAAATGTCAAAAGTTGACATATGATATATCATTCTATTCAGAGTATTATTTTCTATCGAAAATAGTAAAAAAATACCGAGGGTGTCATTTAAAAATAAAAAGTTGTAGTGATTTCCGCTGAAATGCGAAGTGACCGAAAACAATTGAATACGTCAATCAATTCTAATTTATATAATATACTAACATACCAAATCTAGTTTTTTTAACAGAAAAAAATAAAAAAATTATAGGGGTGAGCCACTTTTGAGACGCATCTGGTAGAGAGTGGTCCGAATTATATTCGGGAAATTTCGGCAGCATATTCTACCGCTAGAAACAAGTAAAAACGTTCGTAGGTAGGTATAAATTTATGTCCTAAAATGTTTCGTATATACAGGGTGGCGCCTTCCATTCGACGCGGAGGCTCCAAGGAGAACGGTAGTTTATATCGAAATTAAATTTTGGGAGCATATGTACGTTAATTGAAAGCATTTTATAAAAATATATAGTTATATAGGGTGTTCCCAAAAAAAGTTACATCAAAGTTGTGTTTTTTGTAATGGAACACCCTATATATTAATTGATTTTCGAATTCTAGGAAAAAATAAAGGTGAGTTTTATTAAAGAAGCATGTGTTTAAAATGTAAGAATTTTGACACATTGCACATTTTGTGAAAATGAACAGCAAGTTTTAAATTTCAATAACACCTACTTAAATTTTACTTTACCCTGTATAGCCTAATATTTAATTACAATAATCATTGTTTGTTAAACCAAATTAAAATATAGTTTAACAAACAATGGTTGACCATATATGGATTGACTTCTAAATATAAAGGGTGAGTGAAAGAATAAAGTCGATCCATTGATTATTTCATTTGCTTTGGGAATTAAGAAAGAATGGTAATTAGAAGGTTTAATGTAAGCTAACTTTACTATTAATTTTAAGCATATAATACTGAATAATTCTCTTGATTATGTTTAATATACAGGGTGGTCCGAACTGTATACCGGAAACTTCGGAAGCATGTTCTGCAGATAAAACTAAGTAAAAATGTTCGTATAAATAAATGTATCTTGTAAATGGTTAGTTTTGGAGATACAGGGTGTAGAAGTTTCATTTTTATTTCGATTTTTTCCAAATAATTTCTGAACCATATCTGAATAAAAATTGGTGCCTGGGAGATTTTTGACATGAGCAATTTGATTTTGATATCAATAAGACTCCTATTTGTAGGAGGTACCACCTACATGTGTTTTAACTGTTTTGAAGAGTAATAAAAATATCTCTTGGTAAAAATCGCTACGAGCAATCGTTTTTAAGATATTTAGAATGGAAATATTTAATATAGGTTATTATTGACAAAAAATAAACATGTTGTATAGACAGTTATTTAACTGAAATTATAAATTTGGGAACTTTTTATTTTTTTAAATTAATCATAAATTTTTCTTCGAAAAAATGATGATAAAAAAGCTTCTGTCGAATTTTTGACACAAAAACATTTCAAATTTATGTTTTCAGTCTAATAACTATTTAGTCAACATATTTAATTTATGACAGTGATGACAGCTATTGATAATTCCGATTCCAAATAACTCGAGAACTATTAATCGTATCGATTTTCACCAAGATACCTTTTTTACGTAGAAAATGTCGTAAATATCTAATTTTAGAAATATTTGTTAAAAAATATTTGTTAATAGTGTCATTGTTAGTGCTTATATTACTCTGTGAATTACTGTAATAATTTTTTAATAAACATTTGAATAAGAATTTCAATTCGATCGCAGAAAAATGTTGTGTGCAACATGTGCTCAAAGTATATTTGTTACCCTCAGCATGATTACAACTTACGCGTCGTCCAACAAATATGTCCTTACAATAGGTATACTTTTTTCTGTATGTATAAATCAAAAAAATTGTGGCGAGACGGTCCGTATATATAATTCCATAAGATGATATTATTTAGAAAATATATGAATATTATTTACCGAAATAGCTAATATTCTGACGAATAAAATACTGGAATCCAAATGTAGTCTGTGGTCGATGGTAGCTCTTAATTTATAGTCGTTTTTGGGGTATAGCGAGTCATCTTTACCATACTTTGCCACCAAGTATCCTATGATGGCATGGCTGTCAGGCACGACAAATCCGTCATCGTCTTCCAAAACAGGAATGGTATGTTGAGGATTTTTCTAAACAGAAAAAAACAAGAATATAGGAATATTAATATACAGGGTCCGGCAATCTGGCACAGGGTGCGTCGGACATCTGTAGCTCCTAGAATAAAAAAACTTGAGAATTCTGTTTAAGTGCAATACTAAAATATGTACAATGGATGATTTTTTTTAATGGAACACCCTGTATATTATTGCATTTTTGTCTTCCTTTCAGATCAATTTACGTAATCCTAAGATGTGACTAAATATATTTCGATAGTTTCAGAGATATTAACAGATAAATAAAAAATATATATTTTTCAGCCTTTCTTAAAATAAATATTAAAAATACAAGCCAAACCAAAACTGTCCTGAAATCAAAACTATATTAAGTATTTACTTTAGATAGTTCGTGCTTACTTTTCTATAAATATCTTAATCTTAAATCGTACAGGGTGTTCAAAGTTCTACGCCATTTCTACGCCAAATTTTCTAAAATATAAAATAATTTTTCTTGTTTTTTTTAATGGAACACCCTGTAAAAAATTGACATTTTATGCATTTAGAGTATTTCAAAATTTTTAACGGTTTCGCAGATACTCGCGGTATTATTTCATATGGCTTTCAACGGTAAAATACGAGAGAAAAATCATTGGGTCTGGAAAAAAAAATATACAGGGCGTTTATATTTTAGAAAGTTTGGCGTAGAATTTTGAACATCCTGTGTGATTTAAGATTACATTATTTATGGCAAAGTAATTAAGTAAGTAATTAGTTTAATTAATACCTCATATAGTTTTGATTTCAGGACTGTTTTTGTATTTTTAATAATCTTTTTAAGAAAGGCTGAAACTGCATATTTTTTATTTATTTATTAATATCTCTTAAACTATCGAAATATACCTATCTATTCATATCTTAGGATTATGTAAAGTGATCTGAAAGGAAGCCAAAAATTAAATAATATACAGGGTGTTCATTTAAAAAGGATTAACCCGACCCACTCACACTTTTTTGAGCCACCCTGTAGAAGTTAAAATATTTTCCTGAAATACATCCTAGTATATACTTTACCTTTGCACTTAGTCAAAATTCCCAAGGTTTTTATTCTAGAAGCTACAGATGCCCGACGCACTGTTGCCGGACCGTGTATAGGGTATATGGGGCATATAGGTATATGGTGAGATGTGGATTTTTATAATTTATAAAAAAAGTATTTAAAGACTTTGGAAATTGTACCTAATAGTAAAAAATATAGGTATACATATGCAAAAATATGTTAATTAGTGGATGCAAATTAATGAATAAATATTTGCTGCTTTATTCTGAAGAAAAAAGTTATGTCCGCTTTTTTACTGTCAGCTAGACTTGTTTTTATCAAATGCTATTTATTTATTGTTGTGTTGCTAAAAAACAAGTTTTTGGTCTTTGAATACGTTAAATTAAAATTAGCATTTTCTTCTCTTTTTATATTTTGAATGTGTTATTATTTAAATTAGCATTAGCTTCTATTTGGGAAATTAATAATAACTGCTAGTTCTTTTTATTAATTTACTTTTAGAGAGCGTATAAGAAAATAAATAAAGTACAAAAATTATATACAGGGTATTCCATTAAAAAAAACATAAGTTTGGGTCATATTTCAAGAATGACAGCTCCCAGCGAAAATCTAGTTACGCCACTGAGTTCTACGGGAAAACTTTTTGGGACACAGTTTAAGTCGAAAAATGCAATATTTTTAAATTCTCTCCGTATTTCAGAAACCAAGAGGGCTAGGACAAATCTGTGTAGCATCTTCAATTCAGAAAAAGAGTAGTACAGTGATGTGACAACTGCATCTTAGGATCTCTAGTAATACTAGACGAAAATGGGACACCCTGTACGATTTAAAATAGCAAGAGATCTTTTAATTTAACATAGTAAAAAATGTTTTGAGCATTTTTTGAAAAAGTTATAATCATATAATCGAAAAAACAAACAGCGCCAAGGGCGGCTGGGAAATAACAATCGATGATAATTTTGGCGAGATTAATCTCTAGATGTCTTTTTCTAAAAATTGACATAAGACTTGTCAAAAAGTAACACTAATTATAGAAAAATTGAAAAGGGATAGAACGTTTCCAGACACACAAATCTATTTCCAAAAATTATTTTTTTTTGAATTTTAAACTACACCATTTAAAAATAAATTTTACTCCATATAAAAATACATTATAACCTTTTTAATGCCAATTCGCAGTAAGCGTCATTAAAAAATACAGAAGAGTACAGGACAAGAAAATACCATCTAGGGCTTGACCTGCTAGCCTTGTGATAGCGCGGTTAGCCGCCTATCTAATGAGTACTACGTTGCTGATTCGAGTCCAGCTCCCTCTGTGTGATGTCTTTGTGTTTATCTGAGTTAAAATAGTTTTAAAATAGTTTAAGTTTAATTAATATAGAAACGCTGATAAATAATTATTGTAACGCTCAATAATTAATAAGCGGATTGAATGCCGAAAGGCAAGTGATCATTAACGAGACAAAAAGGGCTTGACTTCGCCAAAATTATAATCTATTGTCGTTTTCCTACCGTCTTTGATATCATTTTTTATTTAATTGTATGGTATTTTATATTTAAATAGTTATATAAGAACATAATTTATTTTTAATTATTAATATACTCTCGCCGCGCCGCCGCCGCCGCGCCGGCACGAAAAACGGGCAACTTAAAATATTCATGTATTTTAATGTTTTGTATATTGAGTTCTAGTGGACCGATTTTGATGATTTTTTTAAGCAATTTGTAGCTAAATTATTTGACTTTTTAGTACTTCTTCCTAAATTAAAAATGAAAGCTGCCATCTGTAAATTATACGAGGGAAAACAAAATATTCATATTGTGGTAAAATTTTCAAACACCCTGTGGAGTACATCAACAAAGCAAGGAATTTAAAAATCATTTTATCGTCTAGGTGTATCTTCTTTCGATAGTTTGTTTTTTGATTCATCTCATTAGCTTTATTTTTTTTGGAAATCGCTTTTGAATAAGACACTAACATTTTTTCGTATTTTTTACATTAAACCATGCCTTTGATTTTGGTTCAAGTCAACGGATCTATAAAATAGTTCTTATTATTTATGTAATGTCTTTGAAAAATCATATTATTATTGTCTCTTCGGCAGTTACTCTAGCAGATATGGTTTTTTCAAAATTTAATCTCTACCATGATACTTCAGAACTTAAAGCCATCTCTACTAAAGTAAACATTAGTAAACAATAATAATATGACTTTTCAATGATAGTGACATTACAAAAACAATAAACACTATTTTAAAGTGTGTTGATAAGAACCCAAAATCAATGCTAAAATTGCTGTAAATCATTACTGACTTATTCAAAAGCATATATCTCCAATAAAAATAAAGCTCTTCAGATGAATCAAAAAACAAACTAATGAGAAAAGACGTACCTAGATGACAGAATGATTTATAAATTCCTTGCTTTGTTAACATATTATACAGGGCGTTTCAAACTTTTACCAAAATATCAACATTTTGTTTCATCTCGTATACTTGACAGATGGAAACCTTCATTTTTAAATGAGAAAGAGATACTAAAAAGTCAAATAATTTCGCTACAAATTTCTTAAAAAACCAAAATCGGCCCACTAGAACAAAATATATTAAACTTTAAAATACATAAAAATCCTGAGGTGCCCGTTTTTCATTCCGGTGAGTGTATGTTTATTATGTATAAAGAATAACAAAAGCTTCAAAGAAATCTGTCTTGAATATTAAATGGATAAAATTAATGGTCAAAATTAATTCATTGTTTACCGAGTTTATTTGTTTTGGTTTTTGAATAATAATCTTCTTAAAATAATTCTGCGTAAGGTATCTACAAAGTTATACTACCTACCTTACGAAATTCTTCAGAGAGATGCTCTGCATTCATTATATCTATTTCCACTAATTCTATCTGAAGATCTATAGCTTTAGCACACATCAGCACAGCTCTGACTGGGGGACTAGCCTTAATACCGTACAGTTTGGGAGCCATATTAAGAAATATTTCTATTAATTATTAATTAAATAATTTAAGTTAATTAATTAAGTAGAAACTTGATCTATCTACGACGGCAAGTAACTGAATAATGGAACTATGGAGACGGTACACCGCACATGTAGACAAGAATCAAATAAAAAATATACTGAAACATTTGACTGAAGCAGGGAACTAAATACCTAATCAATTAATGTAGATAAGCCATCAACCGGATAAACTAAAATAGCCCAGTCACTTTAGAATAAATTCAAGGAAAATTTAAACAAATCGAGACTTGTTATTATAAATTAATTTTTTATGGGAAGGGTTTGCTATCTTCAACTTTTTGTGTAATTTGAACCCTGCTGAAGCAATTTCAATACTGAATTAAAAAAAAAACAAATTTGCAGCCAGAGCTGCAACAAGCCAGTACATATAAGAATAAAACCACATAAAATAAAACGATTTATTTTCAGAATAACCACAAGCAATAAAAAAATATACGCATCTTGATACGCATCAAGAACATAAGATGTACTTTTCATATTACTACTTTTTATGAAACTAAAGATGGTACACACAGATGTCTTATAATTTATTTAAGAATTTTTCAAAGAATTTTCCACGGAGAATTCAGTGGCGTAACTCAGTGGCGGCTCATGACTCGTGTGACTGGGTAGGCGACAAAATTTTAGTTGCGTCTATTTGCCCCCCCCCCCTAAATTTACATAATACCCTAACCCAGTTTGTAAGTATATGTTATCTCTGGGTTAAAAACATAGCTCAAGAATATACAATAATGTACAAGTATATGTTTTTTTTATCTATTACTATGGAGTACATCATAGAATTATATTTTATTTTTATTAACGCAAATAATTGAGACATACCAGTACCTATCTGCAAACCTTATTTCTAAATGTATAACAATGTTATCTAATATTTCATAAAATAACATTTATTAGCATATCGAATTGAATTAGCACACTGAGACTTTTCTGTAATATCTGTTGTATCGTCTTCTTTCATTGAATAAAATAACGCGCTCTTTTATTTCGGATTCTTTTATTTCTGTGGCGTGTTCTGAAATACAACCGGTTATATCATTTTGAATAACGTTTCAAATTTGTTTTAAACGTTTTTTGAATTTTCATATAAAGGTTTTAAATGCTATGTATAAGAATCCGATGAAATATCCCCTTAATAAAATGTGATATATCCCCTTATGAAATATCGGGAATATTAACTTTTAACTTTTAAGCCTACCGAGCCTCCTTACTTCATGCGAAGGCGACCGGAGATTTCGCCTAAGCCCCGCCTTAATACGATACAACTCCGACTTACGGAGCGTCGCTACCGCACGATGAGTTAGACAGAGACAGAAGACTGCCGTACGTCGTGCATCGACTCTGATAGTAGGCGATGTAGAAATCGCCGAACAGAGGCGTTTGCAGTACTCCAACGGTCAAAATTATTTTAACGCAACGGCACAGTCAGCGTATACAAGCGGTAGTGAATATTTCAGTGGCGGACTAAGGGGCGGTCCGCCGTCTTTTAGGGGGCCTCCGTCTTTAAGGCCCCGTCTTTTAGGGGGCCTCCGAATCTTAATAAGTAATTTTTTATTCAACTGGCAAACAAGGCCAATATGTGTTCAGTAGTTATAAAGCAGTTTGTAAGTGGAGTATGCAAACCATACGTATACTACAACTAAAAACAGTATAAATGGAAGCAGATATTTACTTAATTATCAATTATCAGGCCCCAGTAATTGTCAATGGCATTTTTTATTTAGGAAATTAAATCAAGGGGTAATTTTCTTTGTTTAAAATATAGAATAATGAATATTTTGTATATATTTTGAGACTGATTTTATTTATTTTAGCTTTTAAGTTATTTTTGAATGGTGTCATTATTTATTTTTACTGAATAAACATTTTAAATTACAACCAATGCACAGCATGTATTCTAGCTTCATTACTGATGATGAGCAGTGATGTCTTTAGTATAACGGGGGCCACGGACTTGTGACAGCGAAAGGACCCCTCGGATCTTGGAGGACTTACAAAATCGCGATATTTTGTCACGGTATTTCCCTGGAAGCATTTTTAAGAAAACAATATTTAAAATTTTTGGACGAAAAAAACTACCTGTCAAAAAAATTTGTACAGCCTAAAAATCAAATTTAGTGATTATCACAGCCCCTGTGACATAAAGAAAAGACATGTGGCATGTGTCAAAAATTAAATTGTTCAAATGTCATACTGTAATGGCGGTAGCTGTCATGGAATTGAGCGATTAAAAAATTATCATAAATATTTTTGAAAATAAAAATGGAAACCCACTTTTTTATTTCACTAGTGAAAACGTTTTCCAATTCGTTACGTTTTAACTAGACATATTCCTATACCTAAAATAAATCGTTTTTAAGTTATTTAAGATTTAGTTTGAAAACGTATATTTTTCTTGATTTTATCTAGCTTCCTTTGACATTAAGTGTCAAACAGTCAGACAAAATAACTTAAAAACCATTTATTTTAGGTATAGGAACATGTATAGTCAAAAAGTAACAAATTTTAAAAACGAAAGTAACGAAAGCCTTTTCACGAGTGAAATAAAAAAGTTTCCATTTAAAAAAAAATGATTTATGATAATTTTTTAATCGCTCAATTCCATGACAACTGCGGCCATTATTATATGACATTCGGACAATTTAATTTTTGACATAGAGATAGCCACATGTCTTCTCTTTATGGTACAGTGGCTGTGGTAATCACTAAAATTGACGTTTAGGCTATATACATATTTTTGACAGGCATTTTTTTCCTCAAAAAATTATAAATATTTTTTTTTCTCAAAAACGGTTAACGTTAGGTATAGAGTGTTTAATATCAAAATTCATAAAATTTTACAGAGAATTTAAGTATGTAATAAAAAATGAGGTCACCCATTTAAAATAAGAAAGTTGCTGTCAACTTCCGGTACTTCCGAAAGTGCCGCCATATTGAAAATATTTTTAATCGCTAGATTTCATTGTGAAACAATGATATGCACAAAATCTCAGAGCTAGATATTGTAGTTCTCTAGAAACTTCTAACGCAGGCTCAGCCTGGGACACCCTGTGTAAATACTTGAATTTTGTCAACCATTATACATACACTGTCATTCAATTTTTATAAAATGTGCATTAGAAGTATATCATTATCTAAACAGACCGGGGGCCACATTTAGCTTCGCCGCCCCGGGCTCCCGACAGGCTTAGTCCGCCACTGGAATATTTTAATATACAAGACCACAAATATTAAAATAATATTGATTATTACAACACACTTCCGTGTATTGACAGTATTTTTATGTATTGTCAACATTAATAGTAAATAATGTAATGTAATAAACCGCTTAGGTAAATTCTGCCAAAATTTTAGGGTAGGCGCCGCCTACCTTGCCTACCCTGACAAGCCGCCACTGGCGTAACTAGATTTTGCTAGATTTGCTGGGGGGCGGGGGGGGGGGGAGCAACACACAGATCACATTTTCAAAAATTTAGCCGATGACACTATTAATTTATCTCAGCAGTAATAACAACATACTTTGATGACGCTGGCAGGTATGAAAAATCCATTCCTGCATTGCTGGTGGACTTCACACTTCTTTCAAGTATAAAGGATAATTATTTATCAAACCGCTGTAAAAAATGTCATTACCAGAAGGGGTACTAAGATCGGTGTTCAGCCGACACATCCGTAAGTCCACGAAAAACTAGCATCATTAGTAAAAGAAGATTGGTGGAGAGACTTTCTGAAGGTAAAAAGATTCATATAAATAAAGCTCTACATTCTTAGAATACATCTGTTTTAAAAGGCCAGTCAGTAGGAGATACAAAGCAGAAAAGTAATTTAAGAAAAATCAAATGATGAATTCTACTCTTGGTGTACTTCTACTATTAATACTAATATAGGCATTTGTATATATACTTTGTCAAAAGGCTTTTGCTAGGTCTATAAATGCTTAGTGGGTTTGTTGGTTAAATTCTCGTTTATTTTTTATTAGTTGCTATAATGAGAAAACGTTTTATTTTCTTCGAGTAATATATTTTCTAATATTATTTGTACTCGTTTACAAATCATCTTTGCATAGATTTTATATCTGAATTGAGGAGACTGGATACCTCTATAATTACTACAAATCCGTCTGTTTCCTTTTTTAAAGATGGGTTGAACAAAGGGTTGAACGATACTAATTTGTCATTTAGACGATGTTTTTGCATGGTACCTGCAATTATTATACAAGTGTAGTAAACGGTGTTTAAGGACACGCCCACCATACTTGTAAAGTTCAATATTTAGACCAACTGAGCCTGTTGCTTTTCTGTCTCCAAAGCATCGTTTAATTCTTCCAAGATGAGGAGATTCACATATCCTCTGTAATTTTTATCGATATAATTTTCTCCTGTTATATTTTTGTCTGTCCATAGTTTTGAAAAGTATTTGAATCATTCTTCTTCTGTTATATTATCTATTTTTAGTGTATCTTTCTCATTTGAATTCAGATGGTTTACTATTTTGAATATATTTCTTTGTTAGATGTATAAATCATATCCAAGGTTTGCTACAAACTTGTCCCGGCTCTGTTGGTGTTCTTCCTGAACAGCGCGTTTAGCTATCTTTAGTTGATCTTCTTTGTTATGAATCCACCTTAGATAAGCGTCATTTTTATTCTGTATCACTGCAGTTCAATCCAGTTCGTCGTTCCATTTCTTTTTTTCTAGTCACTTTTAGTCTTTTACCTAAGGCTTCTTCTGCTGCTTTTCCTGCTACTTCTCTTTCAATGTCTTCGCTTTTTGGTAGTTGTTGTAAGGATTTATTTAATCGACTCTGGTATATGTATCAGTATGTATGTATGTATGTATGTATATCGTGTACTTCTCATAAGATTTTCGTTTACTAAAATATAATCAAAGAGCTATTACCTTGCTCTTTCAGTCTATGTGTATTTATTAATACTTTTTTCTTAAAATA